AAAGATTATTATACTGAAAGAATACTTAGTGAGAAAACCAAGTTGTTTACTAAATAATAAAATAATAACACGATTCGGGAGTGAGGTTCATGAAACTAACCCAAATAATTAAAAGGTCCACTTCTAATTTGGCTGTTTATGTGAATTGAAATCTAAGACACCCTGAAGTGACACAACCAAAAACAAATCGTTTTGGTGTCCCCATTTGCACTTATATATAAATAATTAAATAATAATGATAATGAACAAAGAATCATCACCGTGTGCGTGGCCCCTCTTAATTCGGATTATTGCCAATAAAAGTCACTAGTTGTATCTTATCAGAGAATATTCAGCATTAAGATAAACATAAAACTGGTTCGGGGAAATCCATAAAGAGCCTCAATCTCCGTCCGAAATCCACGCTAGATTCATGGATCCAAACTGTTTGTTTGTTTTTCTTAATCATTGCTGGCTTTTATTTTTCTTTTTAAAAAATAAAAGTAATTTCCCAGCAGATGAATGCCACGTACGGTTTTGTCATAATTTAAACTTCACTGTGCTTTGACATTACCTTTCGGAACTTCCGGCAAATGATCATAATTAAATACTCATTTTTACAAAAATTAAAAAAATCTAATCCTAAAAATATGTTCTCGACCGATTTTTATTTTTAAAAAATCTCGTTAATCGCTCTGAAAAATTTAAAAACTCATTTTACAATATTTTGAATTTATAGAGTTAATAATTTTTTTATTAATAAACAAAATTAAGAGGATTAAGATGCTATATCAATTTTTTTCTAAGTTTTCTTTTTATACGTTTAGTACTATGGCCATCACTCATCAGTGTTAGGCTATCTATCTATGTCAAACAATCACAAGACAACAGTAGTATTACATTGACGATCTGTGACAGTCAGGGATCCGGTTTCGCGCGCACCAATTTGGATGGTTCTTATCTGATACAATTTTATTATTTAAAATAAAAGATAATTTTAGAACTGTCACTTTAGCAAAGAATAATTTTCTATATGAAAAATTAGAGTTCAAAAATTTTAAATCTGAACTATTAAAATCAGTTTCGAATTGTTCTGGTCTAACCATAGTGATGGGGGTCAAAATCTAACCCCATGTTTATAGTATGCGGACACGTGGTTATTTACAAAAAGAATCATGTGCAAGTTCCTCGTGGCCAGTGACGAATGCAGAGTTGGGGGTGGGGGAAGCCCTCCCCAATTCCAATGCTCCTTTCATATTTTTTTTTAAATTTTTTATAAAAATGTGAAATTTGTTTTTGGTCCACCAATATTTTTGATGGTTTTAGATTTTGCCCTCCCATGTTGGCAGGGGCAGATCATGAAAGCTATTAATCACATCAGTAACAGCTTTAGCTGGATTGTATAAGTCGTCGCTTACCTTCGCACTTGTAAAAAAGAAAACTTAATATAAAAGAAAAGTTAATCTTTATTTTTTTAACTTTTAATTTATTTATAATTCAGTCTCTTAAATATAATTTACTTACAATTTAATTTTTTTAATTTTTAACTTATTTATACTTTAACATCTCAATTTTTATTAGTTTTATTTTTTTATACTAGTTTAGATTCCATATCAAAGAGTAAGAGGAGATATTTTCAAGTAAGATATGAACATTTTTTTATTCCTCTTATTTGATAAGGATATTTTTTGAAAAAATTGAAAAATAAGGATTAAGTTATACATGAATCAAAAGTTGAGGGATTGAATCATAACGAATCATAATTAAAGAATTGAGTTGCAGCGAGTTATACTTGAGGGACTAAATTGCAAGTAAATTTAAAATTAAAGAACTAAAAAAATTAATTTTTCCCAATATAAATTTAATGCATTCATTTTTAGAAATACCAGTTTTAATTTGATACACTAATTCCCTATTATAACTATAATATGACTTAATTTAATAACTAACTACTACTAGTAAACAGGCTACCAATGGACACTAGTTCAGTTGCTAATAATTTATTAATTTAGCCAATAACTCAAATTTCATTGTTGATATGAGAATGTTATTGAGATTGATCTCTAAGTATTTTTTAAGTTTAAAAGCATGTTTTAATTTTCATGAGTTTTTACCAGTTTTTAATTTTTCCCAATATAAATTTAATGCATTCATTTTTAGAAATACAAGTTTTAATTTGATACACTAATTCCCTATTATAACTATAATATGACTTAATTTAATAACTAACTAATACTAGTAGACAAGCTACCAATGGACGCTAGCTTAGTTGCTAATAATTTATTAATTTAGCCAATAACTCAAATTTCATTGTTGATATGAGAATGTTATTGAGATTGATCTGTAAGCATTTTTTAAGCTTAAAAACATGTTTTAATTTTCATGAGTTTTTAAGACCCAGCTCATTTATATTTTTTTTGGTTAAACAAGTACTTATAAACAAATAATTAAATAACTTTAAAATGTTTTTTTTTTGTTTGAAAACACTGGAAATAAGCCACGAACAACACTAAGGAAAATGTATGTAAAATGACAGAAACCTCTCCCCTTAAAAAGTCAGGCTGGTGAGACTGGATGAAATGAAGATCATGACACCATTACGTGTCATAGCATGCTAACTTTTTCTGGGCTGTAAAATCAAAAGGTTGGCATGTGGGTTATCAAAAGCTCCGTAAGCAGGCAACAGATGTTAGTGCTTGTACTCAATTTCTCACTTGATGCGTCCCAAATTCAAAATTCACTTCATGTAATCTGAAAGGGAATAAACTCGCTCACAAGTCACAACCCTTTCTGGGGAAAAAAGAAGAAAAAGACAGACAGACAGACGGGGAATGGATTGAAACATGATAATACGTTATTATATAATGTTTTTATTCATTTATTTTCTGGCTAATAAGAGAAAAGCGTGCCTCTTGCAAGTCATTCAAAATTTTCATAATTAAGTTGCCTTTAGTAAGTTACTAAATTGACATCTCAAGACTTCCCCAGAATTCTCTACCATCTTTACGGCAACTTCTTGTCTCAAAGTATCAGCCACTGCCTCATGGAGCGACTCACGTTCTGGTACAGTTGAAGAATCATTGATAGACAAACGTTTACTCTTCGATTTTTCCTATGAAGTGCTCTAAAATAACATAATATTTTTTCCCCCAGGATTTGAACTCAAACCCTCATAATAAACTGGTTCTTGTAAAATAGTGACCCCTTCGTTGGTTCCCGAAAAACGGAGGCCACTATGGCAGAAAGAAACAAGAAAGCACTTCCTGGTCCCTGGACATAAACCCTAATACTGAAAAACACACAAATCAATGGGATATCAAAATCAGTATTGAGTAAAAATTAGTTTATACTCTTTTATTTCATGTCATGAGAAAAAGTGCATCTACTTATAAAAATTAATGGGTGAAATAGGAAATTTATATTCTCTATAGGGAAATTTTTGAAAACAAATATTACTTATACCTAAAAATTTGTATTGAGGTTTATATTTAGGAACAAAAGAAAGATAAGAATTAGGATTTATATCTAGGGATGCAAAAAGTATTCTTTAAGAACAAGAAAGAAACACAAGCTGTCAAGGCCAATCTCACCCGACAACTTTGAAATGCAAATAATGCCAAGGACAAGGCATAATTTGTATAAAGCTAATTAAATCCTGGCATTTGTTACTAGCGTGATCCTTTTTCAATATTCATCTATCAATCAATAAAGGACAGAACAGGACGACGGTATATTTCCTAAAAAAGTTCCTGAGGCAATATCAACCTTAAAATACAGCCAGAAAGGAGAGCTAAACAAATAAGAAGGTAGAAACAAAAATACTGCATTCGGTCGAAACCCATGGAAAAAACTAAGACCTATCATCAACATGAGGGGGAGGGAGAGAGAGAGAGAGAGAAGACAATCAAATATCATAGTGTAAGTCCACCTCAACCAAGTTTTATTGATAAATCACTCAGAAAAGATCCATAAGAATTTACCACCGGACATTTAGTTCAACTAGTTAAAAAGTTAAATCAACTTAACTAGAGGTCTTAAATTTGAGCTCAGAGAATACCAAATCATTGTTGATAAAGCTTTGATTTGAAAGGATCTCATCCCGGTTCAATTGGATTAATCTGGGCTTGTCGAAGTCCTCTTAGTTTGGTGTGGGACAAGATAAGAGGTGCTTCACGCAAAACTAAAAAGATCCACAAGAAGTTATTGCCTAGAGTCTCAAGCTATTCCTCCTTTTGCCCTTTCCGCAGATACAGTCCACGATTATGGCTACGTAGTTGTGCAGTACTATGAGCAGATTGCAAGCTAACTTTGAACTTTTGATCAAAATCCGTGTGGAAGTTGGCCACAAGGCCAATAAATGCCTCTCAACATCATAAACAAGATAACCTACTAAAACCGCCAAGAACCACAGACTAGACGCCGGTGACTTTAAGTGGCAACAATTAACACATCTAAACTGAACAGCAATTCACTAGCACACACATCAACAATAAATGTTTGAATTGACTACTTTTGATAACTGTAAGCCATTCAACTGAAGCAAGGAGAGACGCTGCAACTTTGGTAGCATAGACCAGCTTGACTTAGGGCGGTAATAAGCAACATCATAAATTGAATAAAATAACAATTTATTAGCACAATGCAAGAACAAATGCTTGCATTGACCACTTTGATAACAGTAGAACATTAAATTAAAAGGGGAGTAGAAACGGATATTGATAACTACCTACAAAGTAGCATAGATTAGACCCTGTGACTTAGTGTGGTACTAATAAGCAGCATCTAAACTGAGCAAGAATTAGTAACACACATTGTAACAATACATGTAGCATTGATAAGAATAACAACATTGAAGGGAACCTAGCAAAAAGCGAGATGAAACCTGCAAACTAAATTAGTAGTAGCCTCAATTAGATCCTGTGATTTTGGTGGCAATAACCAACATTTAAAAGAACTGAATGACAATTCACTAGCAAACTGTAACAAAAGCAATAAGTGCAGTATACTAAAACACAATAGCGTATCCAAACAAAGAATCTACAATCATATAATAGATTAAATGAGAATTATATACAATATTTACATGAACGAAAATGAAGATCTAAAATCCTGTCCAAATACAGAAGTAATCCCCAATCATGACAATTTCCACCGGCAAGCATTGATTTACATGTGATAAAAGCACCAAATCAGCAAATTGGCGCCAATCTCCTGGGAACTTTTTCTCTATCGGCATCCACAATTCCATCGGTAAAATCTCGAACAATCTTTTTGAAAGCAAAATGCAGACAATTGGAAAGCATAATCCAGGACAGAACCTGATAGACGAAATCGAACGCAGGGTCCGAATACGAAGACGATGAATCATCCCAACTATGCCCTTCTCCGAATCGATTAAAATTCCAACTCCCACCACCGCCACCGAAACCGCCGCGGCCAAAAGGACGATTGCCGCCATCACCAAAGAAGAATCCCTCATCACCTGTGTCCCCCGAATCACCACCAGACAACCGGCGCTTCGCCCGTTGTTTTCTGCGGATAAGGGTCCGACGCGGCATTCTGTATGTATTGGATTTCACCGGCGGCGGTGCAAGTGCGTCCACCGGCAAAATCAAGGCCGAGATCTGGAGAAATTTGGAAGATGGCGGGGAACAAGAAGACGATTGTTCGGCGTACGAATCGGTTACGGAGAGATTACAGGTGGCACAACAGCTTCGAAGGAGGAGGAGCTTGGCAACCCCAAGGCCTTTCGCAGCGGCTAGTGTTACAGTATCGGCGACGAAAATGTCCATTACCATCGCGATTTTTTCCCGGAATCAACAAAGCTTCAGGACCCTATGGACGAAAATGAAAATTGCGGAGCACGCGAAATAACAAACGTCAACGACTCAACATAACGGATTCCGAATTTTCATCAAAACGAAGCGCTTCCATGGGAACGGAGCTGGGACGGACGTCTGCTTTAAAATATCACTGTACACCTTAAATTTAACTTAAAAAAATTTATTACTATATAATAATAATAATAATAATAATAATAATAATAATAATGCTGTATTAAAAAAATTTCAGTTCAATAAAAAATAAAATATAAATTTATAATAAATTAAAGTTTAAAATATACATTTAATTTTTTAATTTTAATTATATAAATTTTTAATTTAATTATTTTATTTTATAAAATATATTTTCAGTCATTTAATTTTAATAGAATTAACTTTAAATTGATTAATTTTTTTCAAATATCATTTTCATTTTAAAAAATTAAACTTAATATATTAATATTTAAAAATATTTTATTAATATTTAAAAATTTTATATAAAAAATTTATTGTTAAATAAACTATCTGTATTAAGAAGTCAAAATAAAATATTATATGAAGTTAATAAATTAAATGTGCACTTTCATCTAAAGTAAATCTTGGCCAAACAAAAATTAAAGTAAATCATTCTAAAATCGTAAATAGTATGATTTATTTTTATGTTAACAAGACAAAATCTCAAAGCCCTTGTCTCATGTGTAGAGTCGGGAATAAGGGGCAGGCTTGAATTTAAATAAAGGTTTGGCCTTTGAAAATAAATTTTTTTAAAAAGTAATCGGATTTGAAGGCTTTGTCCTGATAAGTACTGTAAAATAAGGCTCGGGTTCGGGTAGCCCTTCAAGCCTTGTTATATTATTATTATTATTATTATTATTATTTTCTTTAGTGAAACACGTATTTGAAGCCAATGACCTGCTTACCTGATCTTACACACATTATTTATTATTAAATTTAATTTTTATAAAATTAATTTAATATAATTTAATAAATATCAGTGTATAATATAAAATTTTTGATATTTTTTATTTTTCTATAATTATTATGTTTGTATATTTATAAAAAATAAATTATTTTTTAATCAAAATTATATTTTATTACTAGACTTCTAAATGTGTGTTGTTTAATTTTTAAAAAATTATGAGAATTTTATTTCTTTTAATTTCAGAATATTTTAATTAATTTATAACCTTTAATTTTATTTTTTTATTTTTTTGAAAAAAGTTTATGGGCCCGACTCTGAGCCCTTTACATAAGGGTTGGACTTGAGAAACAGGGTTTAAAATAAAAAATTAGATTTCAAGGCTCAAGCCCTTAAAAGCTAAATTCATAAGAATCAGGCCTTTAAGGGTCAAGCCTGCCTATATTTCCAACTCTACTAATGTGGAGCCCGAGAATCAAGTTCCACCATTTACTGTGGATCACGCAATTTTTTTACAGCGTTTTTGTTTTGGATTTTTTAACTGTCCAAAACCATATATATATATATATATATATTTTATAAAAATAATTATATTTAAATCACAGACAACTATCAAGTATGGGTATCTCTCTTCTAGTAAAAAATTAAACTTTAGATTGTTATATTATGAATGATAAACCCCAAAAAGATACTCATATTTTATTGACTGTGTATCCAATAAAATTATTTGAATAAGAGGACAATTTGTACATGAGGCATGTAACAAACAACCAGACTTTATTTTTGGACTCTATAAGAAGCACGAGTCTTTAGATTTAGTTTTGCTAATGTAAAAATAAATTATATTATTCGTAATTTAAGAATGATTCAATTAATTTATTACAAATTTTATATTTTAGACGGATATTAATATATTGTTGGAAAAAAAAAAAAAGAAATGGATTGACGCTTTTCGGCTTTCGTCCTCCAAGAATATTTATGTTGGATAAAAATAATATAAAAAATGAAATCCGGTAATTGTGGCATTAGTGACTTCAAAACCCTAACTGCCGACTCTGGTCATCATCTTCTCCGGATAAAAGGAACCGCCTGAAAACTGAAAAGCTCTCTCAAGTCTCAAGTTTCCACTCACGACCACACGCGGAAGCGGGGAAGCCTGGTCATGGTTTCACTGAAGCTTCAGAAGCGGCTAGCTGCCAGTGTACTCAAATGCGGGAAGGGAAGGTTTGGCTTGATCCCAATGAAGTCAACGAGATTTCCATGGCCAATTCTAGTACTTCTCTTATTTCTTTCTCCAATTTTTTTATCTTTCATGCCAGTATATTACCCCAGTTACAACGAAACTTTATCATAATTAGCTTTGATCCAAGTTGTTGAGTTCGCTTATAAATCGTGGATTAAAAGTTTTTGTTATTGAGTGTAACATGAGGTGAACACTCGTTAGTTTATACTTTACACAGATGGATCCACGGAAAATATGTGTATGATGATGATGATGATATGTCTTGAGCCCGGTTTCTGTTTGAAAAATGATTAATTTTATTGGGAATCGAAAGCGTATTTTTTTGATAGTTTGGATGTGAATAGCAGGTTCTGGAAAAATTGCTTTTCAAGGAAGATCAAATTTCATTTTTCATCTTTGTCGGTGTTGGTGTCGGATATCTTGCTTTCTAGCAAAGAATAACAGAGTCTCGCTTATAGACCAATACAGACCAGGATTACATATGCAAGTTGTTTTTAGCAAACCAATTATTGAATTCAGCCAACTTATTTCCCACTTCACCTGTATCTTATATTTCCTGAGATGGAAATTGGTGTTGCTCGTATATACATGGGCTTTGATAGATATAGAAACGGACAAATTTGTTTCCTTTTTCTATTCATCATGATGCACGATATAATATAGAGGTGAAGTGGCCAATTTGGTTTCCAGTTCTTGTCCTATCTCATTCAGGTGTTAAATCTTTTATGTAATGGCAGGAATATTATTAATTAAGCTGGTAGTAGTTTAGCTGTTAGAACTAAATATATATCTGGTTAGGTTAGTTAGTTTGCGAGTGTTCCGAAAACAAACATGTAGAGCGCTGTCTATAAATACTAGTGTACTATCATCTGTGAGTGAGTAATGAAGCTGATGCGCTATTCAGTTTATTGAAGCACGTTCTCTCCTCTATGTGTGCACCTGTGCTAATGTGTTCTGCCTCGTTTGAGGCAATATTCTCCGAACGAACTGTATTTTTAAGTCTCGCGAATGACTATTAGTGCTTTGAGATCGTTTCAATCTTTTGAGGAAGTGGTTTAAACCATCCAAGTTTTGCCAAAAATGACCTTGTTATCTAAGATTAGTTAAAAGAGAGAGATAAAGAAAGTGACTGGTGAAAATTGCCTAAATTGGTTGTAACTTGTTCCCTAAGCAGCTTAGTCATGAATTCAATATTTTGCTTGTTGATCTTGAGGCAGGAATGTTGTCTTGTTGGACATGTTGGTGAAATTATCATCCATTTTAAAATATAGACTTGGTCTCCCAGATGTTTCTTCTGGTCAGGATTGTAAGCTTGTCAGCTTCTTCTGTTGCATGGGTGTTGAACTCTTGATGACATCCATTGTAATAATGGCTTAATGGCTAATGACAGGACAAAACATCAGAAAACTTGTGAAGGATGGCTTCGTAATTAGGAAGCCCACAAAGATTCACTCTAGATCTCGTGCTCGAAGAATGAAGGAGGCCAAGAGAAAGGGTCGGCATTCTGGATATGGTATGATTTATTGTTAGAATTTGTGGTTTGTTCTGTCGCACATTTTTGTCTTAAGAAGTCATTGATGGGGGCTCATTTGATTTTTATTACTTAAGGTAAGCGTAAGGGTACTAGGGAGGCACGACTGCCAACAAAAGTACTATGGATGAGGAGAATGCGTGTGTTGAGGCGTCTGCTTCGCAAGTATCGTGAAGCTAAAAAAATTGACAAGCACATGTACCATGACATGTACATGAAGGTGAAAGGTAATGTCTTCAAGAACAAGCGTGTTTTAATGGAGAGCATCCACAAATCCAAGGCTGAAAAGGCCAGGGAGAAAACTCTGTCTGACCAATTTGAGGCCAAGCGTGCTAAGAGCAAGGCAAGCAGGGAGAGAAAGCTGGCAAGGAAAGAGGAGCGGTTGGCACAGGTATGCCGTGGTTTCATCTCCATTCTTCTCCTTGACCCATAAAACTCGGAAGAGATACAATTTTATTTTCTTGTCATCGAAATGCTGCTGGCTAGCATAAAAATTCATTTTTCACCCAATAGTTTGCTTGCCATCTTTAGACTTGTGATTCACCAGACTTTATCCTTGCTGCTGCTATATGTGGTAAACTGAAGAAATTCATAAACTGATTGGTAAGTTAACGTTGTATGTATGTGAACTGTATAGGGGCCTGGAGAGAGAGTACCTCAGGCAGCATCACAACCACAGGCTGAGTAAGCATTAATCTGTTGACTATATAACTTTCCTGAATTATATCTGTTTTTATATCATTTACAAATTTGGATGTTATCTTTCCTTTAGGGGTGCTAAGAAAACAAAGAAGTGATGCTGAGCTGAGATTCCAGTGCACGGATGCTAAAGAATGGAGGTTGATTGTCGGATGTTGAATAGAAGTGTCTATCTTGGAGCTATTTTGTTATCTGTGGGAAGCGAACGTTCGAACTAAGCTGTAATATTATCTTCTTAATTTAGTACGTGCTCAAGTCACATTTTTCTCTTGCGCCAAATGTAGAGAATTCAAGCTGATGAAGGTACAGTAACCTGTATGTTCGTATTTTTCCTTTCCTTTTCTTTCTTTCTTTGTTTTCTTTTGGGGGGCTAAACCTTCTGTGCGCTGTATCCTTTTGAGGTTTTTAATACAGAAGAATTTTGTTGGAAGCAAGTCTCTTTGTTATGGGGCTTCCCTTCATCTTCCTCCTGTCTATTTCTTATTATATATGATCCTTAGTCCTAAAACCCCGTCCGTCATCTAATCCCCCCCCCCTACTTTATGTAGTAAAATGAGCAGAACTTGATTTTTTTTTTTTTAATAAAAAAGGAATGAGCCAACTGTTAGTCTGCGTAATTGCATTCTATAATGTCATCCTACTGCTTTTATTTAGAAAAATAAAGAAATTTTGAAAAAAGTAGTCAACATTACGACGTTGCATGACATAAAGAAAATACCTTCGATCGTGTCATGCAAATTACCGGAGAGATCCATGATTACTGGGAAGTCGAGAATCCAAAAGAAATATAATACCTTGTGTTTTATTTTTTAATGCATTGCCACAGTAAAACCGTGTAACAAAACCAATATTAAAATATCAAGTCATGTCAAGCGTGATCTGTTAAATAAATAATATTAAAATATTCTCTTGAAATTTTATGAGCTAGAGGTGCAAAAGTTGATTTCTTTATATGTATGATCAAAGGTGATCTCTCAATTTTTCATTGTGAGATTTTTAATGTTTTTGATAATTGTTGAGAAAGGGTGGCTAGAAGTTACATTCAATGAGGGATGAAGTTTTTATAAAATCAAAGTAAACATTCACTTAAAAATATTTACATTCCAGCAAATGTTTAGTTCTTTTAAAATTTTTATAAATTCAACTGTTGTGTTGAGTTAATAATCAATATTTTTGAAGAATTCTTTAATCCAATTAATCTTGTTATCTCTAATAGGTCCTCCAATTTCTCATTGTAGGATTGAAACTTTAAATCATTGATAATTTTGTGGGTGCTGGAGAAAACAATGTCATTGTTTAAGTTAATATCTTCAAAGTAAACTTTCTTGCATCTTGTTCTCAAAATGTTCTAACATGCAAGGGCAAAAAGTTTCCTTGAGGACAATCTTCATGTAGATAGGCTTCTCGCTTCGTCTTGAGCATTTCATGTTATTCAATCCTGTACAAGAAGAGAAAAGAAAATACTATGCTTGAAAGGATTTACTAATTTTTTTCAAACCTCTTTAAAAAGCCAAAATAAAATATGAATAGAAAAGTTTAGAGAGTTACAACTAAGGGTGCAAGTATGTTGCTGAGTAACATTTCCGTCACTGAGAGTGACATTATTTGGAGTCGATCCCAAGCAACTTTCTAAAAGAAATACTTGATTTTTTTTTATAAGTAGGTAATTTTTAAAATTTGTACCATATATTAGAGTCTTCCTGAGCTTGTTGAGTCTCCATGCTTTATAAGCAGATTTTATAATAAAGTTACCATCATTCGAGGGTCTCCAAAGAAGAACATCCTCATTGCTATGTTTATTAAAAGGTTGCATGAGAACAATTTGTTTAATAGCATCAAGGTGGAGGTATCGACTTAGACTGTCAAAATTCCAATCACTAATAGGCATATAGAAATTCGTGACTTTAACATGAAGGGAAAATCAACATTATAGGAGGTATGTTTAACAAGAGGGTCAGGCAAGGATAACTTATTTTTAAGAGTTTAATTAGATAATGTCAGCAAAGAATAATCTTAATAGTGGAGATGTCCTCCTCTGAGTTTGTAAATATGTTTATTTATAAGTTTTAAGATCGGTTAATTGATAATAATGATCAGATTATGTTACTTAGTAAAGTCATGAGATTTGGCTTGATTATTCAGCTTACTGAATTAAAATTGTAGATTCATAACGAACCACGTTCATATTTAGTGCGTATATTTCTTTAATGAGGACCGGTAAATGAAATTATTTGGTAGCTTGAACCTTTCTTAAAATTATGCCTATATTGGATGGAATTGAGTTTATCTAATTCTAAGCTTTTATGGTCCAGTAGCATCTCAAGATATTCATTGTTGTTAGTATAATAGTGTTTGTACATAATTTAAGAAATGAGTTAAGTTGCTTATTACTTGGGAATCATTTAACTTTCTATAAATATTAACATTGATACGTTGTCCCAAAAATGTTGATATTGATGTACATATATTTAAGATAAGATGAGTTACACTATTTAGTTTTTTTTTTTTTTCCCTTTTGCCAATGTAAACTGTTTGGTTTATACTTTATATTTATAGTAATCTTATTTTTAATTGAATTATTTGAATTACTTTGGTTACGTTTTAACCAAGGTCAAGGGACTTCCAAAAACACCCCAAAATAGAAGATAGAATGTCAAACTTCAAGACGTTACGGTGCTTGTCATGACGCACACGAACACAACTAACACTGGTCCAAAAGTCGGGCAAAGAAAAAGAGAAACTAAATAAAAATGGAGTTTTACGGTGCTTGACGATATGATAAGTCATCCTCACTTCTTTATTGCTTCTTGATTATCAAACTTGTAAACTTTGGCTTAAAAATAAATATATATGGATTGCACTTTTCATTTCCAAATGCGTGCTGAAACCAACTAAAACCAAACACGCAACGAGTCCACGAGCAGTTGGCTCTCCTGTGATTCGAAGGAATAAAATGTAATTTGCCCAAACTTTCTCATGCTAAACATAGCAAGTAGGAATTGACACCTGGGGACGATGGATCACCAGACCACCATCGCAGCAAACGCGCGGGAGACACCATTGTCTCACCCAGAACAACGCTTTTCCGATTCTGCATGCTTTGGAAGTTTGGATCTAAAAACGACCGACGACATTGGCGTCGTTTTATACCTTCACGGTTTTGAATTCCCATGGCGTCGGAGGAATCGGTGACCGGGGGCGGCTCCCGGTACGTTCAACTCCCACCAGATCCGCCGCCAACGATAATGTCGCCCGTCGCATCGCACCGGCAAGGCGGCCCTGAGCCCAATCGGATTTTCGATGAGATGCCCAAAGCTACCATCGTCTCCGTCTCTCGTCCCGACGCTGGCGACATCAGTCCCATGCTTCTTTCTTACACCATCGAGTTTCAATACAAACAAGTACCAATCCTTCATCTCTCTTCATTGTCTTCCTACTAGTGCCTTATTTGGAATTCTTTGAGAGTCCTACATCTAATAAGCCCAGATCCTTTTCCGTTTCTGGAATAGACGTCTGAAGTGTGAAATGACGAAGCTAATATGTAATAGTAAAAGCAAGCAAGTGAAGAATTAGGAAAGCAAATGAGTAATCCGAATATAATAATATCTTTTGGCACTGTATCAGTAAATAACGTAGGTACGTTCGCCACAGCTTTATTAGGGAGGAGAAGGGGTAAAAAAGAAAAAAAAGGAAAAAAAGAAAGAAAAGAAAATGGAGAATAATGCAATGTTCTATGCTGGACTGAGGAATTAGAAATAAACGCCCTTTTTTTATGGTAGGCCCTTTATCTTCAGTTTTCTTACCTTAAAATTTAACTTTTTAGACTTCTTTTCTTTTGCAGCCTAATTTGATGACTTCCTCCTTTCATTTTAGGCTGTGATTGATTAATCAAATCGATATGCCTTTTACAGTCCGGCACTAAACAGTTTAGCTATGGTTTGAATTTGGCACTAAGAAACATCAGACAATGGGTGTTTTTATTTACTTGATTGAGTCTCCTGTCACTGGACTATTCTTATAATTATATATCTCATTTTCATTTTAGTTCAAGTGGGAGTTGGTGAAGAAAGCTTCTCAAGTGATATATTTACATTTTGCCTTGAAGAAACGTGCATTTATTGAGGAAATTAATGAAAAGCAAGAGCAGGTGTGTTGCCCAATAATCTTTATATGGATTTTCTGGTTACTTCCTCATATTAAAATGTTTTTTGTCATTCATATGATTCCTTCTACCATCCTCATTCTTCAATCACATTTTCATGTTATTTGAGGATATATTGTTTGCCTAGCAAAGTTTGGGATTGTGATGATCACTGAAACATTATATCAAGGTTAAAGAATGGCTTCAAAATCTAGGAATTGGAGAAAACACCACCATGGTGCAAGATGATGAAGAAGTAGAGGATGACACTATCTTGCATTATGATGAATGTGCTAAAGACAGGTGATCATTGCCACTTATTTTACAATATTCTTTAGAATTTCGTTGAGTTATTTGGTCACAATTACTTTATATGTGGTTTTTGGTCCAGGGATGTTCCATCTATTGCTGCCTTACCAATTATACGGCCAGCCTTAGGTGGGCAGCAGTCTATCTCAGACAGAGCGATGGTTGCTATGCAAGGATATCTCAATCACTTTTTTGGAAATATTAGCATCGTTAACTCTCCAGAGGTTTGCTTCATGCATGTACTTATTGATGATGATACTTGTCCTTGTTATTGATGGAACTCTTTCTTTATCTAACTGTCATAATATTATGTTCATTCAAGTGTCATAGAAATACAAGTAATACAAAAGGCTAAAGCATCTGTTTTTGATATAATGAAGCTTTAATCTGATAATGTAATATATGCAATGAAGACAAGTTGCATTAATCCAGGGTGGCTTGTGCTGGTCAGCAACAACAACAACAACAACAAGCTTTTATCCCACTAGGTGGGGTCGGCTACATGGATTGTAAGACGCCATTGTGCTCATTATAACGTCTATTGTCCATGTTCATGATAGATTCAACGAAGTTTTACATTGGCTGTTGATGGCCTAACACAACCCTCCTCCTTTACCCGGGCTTGGGACCGGCTATAAACATAGGCGGAGTTGGCTTGTGCTGGTCATCATCATAGAAAATTTGTGGTAGCAAAGAATTACTCTAGATCGGTGTATGTGTGTGTGTGATGATTGGCTTAAGCTGCATGGGCTATTTATTAGTTGGCTTACCTGTATTTTAACTAATTTAAAGCTAGAAATAGACACCTGCCTAACTGAGAAAGTCAGTGATACCAATAGACTATTGCACAACCCAAGGAGTGGAGACTCGCTAGAAGAATGTCAAAAGGGCTTCCCAAGAGAAGTAGGGTGAAGAAGACGCTTTGTTAATTTGTTTAACCGTGTGACCCAGGAGTGAAACTTGGAGAATGTCAAGGGGACTTCTTATGGGAAGTGAGTCAGAATTCTTGGAATTGTTTGTCCATTGCAATTAGGTGGTTTTGTCAGTCATGGTGATTTGTCAAAGTTCTATGGTTCTTAGTAAGGATATGATATTCTTTTACTGTTGGGTTTTGTTTCTAACAAGGTGAAGTTTGGATACTCTTTAGCTTATAGGAATTGTTAGAATAGTGAGCGTGTGATGGCTAGGTTAAATGAAATGTGTTATATATGAGCGGTTGTGTTTGTACCATGTGTACTAACCCTTTTGGTTTGTTTAATTCATATTTTTGAGTTGACTCAGATTTTCTGGCCAAGTAGGTTAGTAGTCTCTTTTAAACTATTACATATTACAAATGTAAGGGTGATCAATGAATATACTGTGATGCAGGACAAAAGCTCAAAAACATTAAGGGTAGGTGCTCTACAGAAGATGACCTTGAATCCAGTTGGTAGAACTCTATAGTTTAGCAGGGTTCAAGTATAATCCTTGGAATCATATTCACAACGAAACCCTTTTAGAATCAAAATAAAGTGGACTATACATCATCAACTTTCTTGAACTTTCCTACGTATATAGTATACTTAGAGGACTCGTATCCTCAATATTCCAGAAAAATATACAATTGCTATGAAAATTAAATAATAATTAAAAAATAATATTGTAATTTTAATCTCATTTGTCTTCATTGCTGGTGTGCAAATTAATTAATCAGTGCTTGCCAATTCAACTGAAGTTTTCTTTTTTCATTTTGAATCTGTAGCATTTGAAAGCCCAAATAACTTAAAAACAAGCATACATTTTTCTTTACTTGTTGGAATATGTTTACAGAAATTAGTATTAGTGTTTCTCATAAGTAAAAAAAAAATGGTAAGATAGTGTTTCCTTGCTCGTGGAGGCACACTACTAGTTGTCACACAGCCATCAGCCATAGAAAAAACAGAAGAAGAGAAACAGGGTGAGGAAAAGGAAGAGACAATGTTTACCTGAGAATCGTCAAATTTCCGAATCTCCCTTTTCAAGTCATAAGAAGAAAGAAAATAGACATGAAAATGCCTAAAATTCATTTGCTCTTGATCTCAGATTTGTCTTATTTTAAAATCTTTGCTGGATTGAGCATAACTCATTTGAGACCTGGCAGTTAAACGACCACATTCTAAATCACTGCTGAGTGGTGATTCAAAAAAGCAGATGACCAACAGATTTCTCATTATTTAAGCATCAAATAATGACTGAAAATAGCAGCATATATACATTTTGGGTTGGATTTCCCTTTGTGACGTCAGCTTTCCCTTAGAATAATTAGGTATTTTGATGTGCACGACCCTTGCAAATCCATTTAATGAGAAGAACCTACTCCATTAATTTGCTTGAGCTCTAGAAGGAGCTTGACATTATTATTAAATCCAACCTTTTTTTTTTACCATGTGTCATACTAAGGAAATACCTCAAAATGCTTCATTTGATTTCTTTTCCAACTTGTCATGCTTGTCAGCTTGTGGTAGGCTAAAATTCAAATAATTTTAGCCAATTTTTCTTGCTAATATTTTCAGCATTTATTTAAAAGTATGAACCTTGAAACTCAAGGGACATCTTATGTTTTTAGCCATAGTTTATGTATGCTTTATTAAGTCTAACACTTTGCTATATTATCATCACTCTGCGTCTCTGCCTCTGAATTTTTGTTACATTCCTGTACTTGCTATTATGATTAGGTACCTGCATTTACAATAAGTAGTTGTATTGCGTGCTGTAGGTTTGCAAGTTTTTGGAGGCCTCAAAGTTATCTTTCGTACCTGAATATGGCTCCAAGTTGAAAGAAGAATATGTGATGGTTAAGCATCTGCCAAACATTTCAAAGGAGGATGATTCTAGACAATGTTGTATTGTTCAATGTTTCAGTTGTTGCAATGACAACTGGCAAAAGGTAGCGTGACATTGTGCTTATGACATGGGTTGATAACTTTGTGTCAAATTTGCTTTGGTACTTGTAAATGCAATAAATTGGGTATGAAATTTATGCAGTGTTGTTCAGTCATACATTCAATCGAAATAGATGTAAATATGCTAAAGTCATTCGCATGTAATATATATTGGTGCCGATTGAAACTATTTTATTCTCTTAAAAGCCCCGGTACGGCAGTACCATGTCAAGGATATCCTTGTGGCTATATACAGATTAAACCTGTGGTTGGGGCCAAGTTATGCATTATTTTTTCACATAAATTCCATCAAGAGTTTTTGTCTGCCTTTCAACTGTATTTGAATGGAGTTGTTAGTTTTAGATAAGGATTCCTCATAAACTATGATTTACCACATTTTTCCATATTGACTGGCATATCATTGAATAACTGGAATTATCTTTTCTTTTATGATAAGATGTGGAAATGACAGGAGTTAATACGTAAGAACATTATCAGAATTCAGAACACAAAGTGCTAGAATCTGAACGCAGTCTTCTCCGTTAAACCATAGGAGAATGTCCTGATAGAGAAGGGGTCAAATCTGATCTATCTCCTTCTAGGCTAGATATTACAATTTATAATACTCTAAAGATAACTGAAGCAGTAGATTAAGATAACTGGAACAAATAACTGAGAGATAGCTACAGCTACAAAAATGAATAACTTCTAAAAACTCCCCAAGGCTCATTCTTCTCCACCTTCCCTTTAGCCTTCCTCATCCTTATCCTATAGCTAGTCACACTTGTGCCTTCTGACATAGGTATGAATAATGGGAGTCTTATGATATTATTTCCCAAAAGTAATTATGATGTTTCCAAGATCACATCCCTCCTTTTGGTTTATTTCCTCTGTTTTACCTGTCTGTTGTTGCTTTAGAGTTTGATACAACTTACAACCATGTGTGTTGCGATTGATCATAGTTTGAAATTCTCCAAATATATCAATGGAGCATCAGTTTTCAATTCCTTATATTTGAGTTATAACTTACTATTGATTTTGGTTTTAGATTACCAATTTTTTTTTTTGTCTGTTTTGTTATATGCAGGTTTGGGCTGTACTAAAACCTGGATTCTTGGCATTTCTGGCAGATCCTTTTGATACCCAACCTCTGGACATCATTGCTTTTGATGTGCTCCGTGCTTCAGATGGGAATCGAGAAGGTTGTGTATCACTAGCAACAGAAATGATTGAACCAAACCCTTTACGCCATTCATTCAAGGTCGCATGTTCTATCTCTGTTCTTACATTTCTAGTGGATATTAGAGTGGCAGTTAATATTCTCTCTGTGTTGCTTTTTAATCTTTTGTTTATTGGTCACAAAATAACCACTGTCTATTCGACCATGTCTGATTCAAGATTAAGAGAGATTCTCTTCAATTGGTAACTATATACTTCCAGGTGACTTCTGGAAATCGGAGCATTAGGGTAAGAGCAAAGAGTAGTGATAAAGTTAAAGATTGGGTTACTGCTATAAATGATGCTGGAGTAAAACCTCCTGAAGGCTGGTGTCATCCTCATCGCTATGGTTCTTTTGCTCCTCCAAGAGGCTTGATTGAAGATGATAGCCAGGCTCAGTGGTTCATAGATGGTCAAGCAGCATTTGAAGCCATTTCTTCTTCAATTGAGGATGCAAAATCGGAGGTTCTTTTTCTCTGTGCTAGGACTTCAAAATTATGCAGGAGGTCAAGTTCACAATATTATGATTGTTCTTAGTTTCTGTTCAGTGATTGAGAGTTTCATGCAGATATTTATTTGTGGGTGGTGGCTTTGCCCAGAGCTGTATCTGCGGCGTCCTTTTCACTCTCATGCTTTATCAAGGCTTGATAATTTGCTGGAAGCAAAGGCTAAGCAAGGGGTTCAGGTGTTCTTTCTTTCTTTCTTTCTTTTATTTCTCTTCTTTTTTTGGTTTGGCCTTTTTTACATTAAGGCCAGGTATCCCTTTGAAATGGAACTGTAGGCCATTCCCTTTACAATGCCTAATTAAGCAAAGGAGAGCCTGATCAATTATTCTAAGAAAGCAATGTTTTGAATTACTTTTGACATCGAGATGTTTAAACTGTGAAAGTTATTCAGCCATCGCAAGGTTTTTCTTTTTAGTATGATATTGGCTTTCAGTTAAGTTAATGATTGGTTGAATGTGGTAATTTATAGCTTCTATTAATATCACTAATGTAAAAAGGTTGTGATCATGTTAAAGAAATCACTTTTTCTATTTTACATTAAGGCCAGGTATCCCAATAAGCCATCCCCTGTAGTTCTTTATTAATGTGACTTATTCCAAGTCACCGTGGACCTAAGGTTGTGAACACTTGTTGGCTGCACTGATTACACAGCTGCTTCAGTTTTAAGAATTTCAATTAATTCTGCCATATAATTCTCTTTCTAATCAAAACCAAATGGCTTTAGAATGCTTTTGGTTGTTGGATGAGTGACCTTAATTTATGGAAGAAGTTAGTCCCTAAAAGATGTAGTGTCTAAGTTCCGAATGGGTAGTGTCAGTTAAAGTTTTCATTGCTTATTAATTCACTGGTCCATGAGATGATCATACTGTTAGAAAGGATTTCAGATCACTTGCTCACTAGCTGATTGTTAGTGACAGTTGTTATTGAGTTTGAAGTTTCGTTTAGGTCTTGGGGCTTTTTTTAAGGGGGAAAAAAGATTTAGGGTCTTAAGTTTGATTGAGTTAATTATCTTATTGTTTTGCTTTCTATAGGAGTTAGTTTTGTTGTAAAACTCTGTTATTTTCAGTAACATAAAGAGGCATAAGAGCTGAGGTATCTCCTTTCAGCTCTCTTTTTTTCACCGTAATCTCCTTTCAGCTCCTGAGTTCTGGATCATGCAATTATTGTTGGCTTATTTCATGGCTGTCTCAATTATCTTACTTGTTATCAGAGTTGAATACCAAAACCCTAACTGCTAACTCAGCAGCCACTCTCTAATAAATGATGAAGATTTGACTTTACTATTTTCCAAATTTGAGTTGAGAAGAATTGGGATAGGCATGAATGCTGGCCTTTTGATGCAGATTTTTATTCTTCTCTACAAAGAGGTGGCTCTTGCCTTGAAAATCAACAGCATATACAGCAAGAAAAAGCTTCTCAGCATTCATGAGAATGTGAGGGTATTACGTTATCCTGATCACTTTTCTAGTGGCATTTACTTGTGGTATGCAAATTCCCCAAGACTTATTTATACACATACACAAACACACAATTATATATAGAATTTTATTGTTTTGATTTTATCAGCAATATCAATTATAGTACATATTTGTGATTCATAATATGGACTCATGATTACGCACAGGTCCCACCATGAAAAACTGGTTATTGTTGATCACCAGATTTGCTTTATTGGAGGACTGGATTTATGCTTTGGTCGTTATGACACACCTGCGCACAGAGTGGGAGATTTCCCTCCTTTGATGTGGCCTGGAAAGGACTATTATAACCCTAGGTAAATTGTGTGCATCAACTAAAGGGGTAATGAAAAAAAAAAAAACACAAATGTTCTTCGTAAAATTCTATGCATTTTTCACAATTGAATCAGGATATGAAAAATATGGGGATAATAGTTGAATGAAATGAAATTCTTATTGGAAGGCTGAAGGACATATTTGGTAGGCTGCATGGACCATCATAATTTTGAAGGATTTACTGGAGTAGTTACCCATTCAAATTTATGTAGATACTTTAATAGGATTTCATTTCTTTTTTATAGCAACTATACTCTGACTAACTCTGTCTTGTTGGATTAGATATAATTTAATGTCACAATTCATTGATTTATTTAATCTTTTCCAGGGAATCTGAACCAAATTCCTGGGAAGATACAATGAAAGATGAATTAGATCGTGGAAAATATCCTCGTATGCCATGGCATGATGTTCACTGTGCCCTTTGGGGACCACCTTGTCGTGACATTGCTAGGCACTTTGTTCAGCGCTGGAATTATGCGAAGGTCAGATGATTTCATCCATTATTAGAATAAAATGTCTGAATGCTCAACACTGTGTGTTCCTAAATTCCTAATTTGAAGTATGTATTTTGTGTGTCTTTTCCCTTTTCCCTTTAGAGGAACAAGGCTCCATATGAGCAAGCAATACCATTACTTATGCCCCAGCATCACATGGTTATTCCACACTACTTGGGTAAAGACAAAGAATTGGAGATTGAAAATGAGAGGCCTATCAATCATAGAAGAATCAGAAGGGATGATTCCTTTTCCTTATCACCATCCCAAAATATTCCTCTGCTTTTGCCTCAGGAATCTGGTGGGCCGCATACTCCTAAAGGATACCAGGAATCAAATGGGTTAAGAACCTTTTCAAATCTCAATCAACAAACCAAGATGAGTGCTGGTCTTCCTCCCCTATTCCAGAAGGCCAAAATTCAACCAGTTAGCTCAGATAAACCAATGAAAGGCTTTGTAGATGAGCTTGATTATATTAATGAAAGTGGAAAAATGTCTCAAGAGAGAATTGCTTGTGTCAGCACAAAAGGCACAGATTCAGAATGGTGGGAGGCACAAGAACGGGGTGATCAGGGAGGCTTTGCAGATGTATCTGGACAAGTTGGTCCCCGTGCTTCATGCCGCTGTCAGGTATGTTACTGATGGCTGCCTATTGTCCGAATAGAAGTGGTCTGCTCAAAGATAATTGTGCCACCAGATTCTTTTTTCCTTTTAATATTTTATACCATATGATTAAACCCTTTGTAGATTGAAATGCATAAAAAGGCGTGGTGATTAATGATTAATATTTTCACCGCCAAATTAATATCATTCATTCATAGAGACAGATGTTTCAACCATGATTAATGTAACTTTGCCTAAATTGCATTAAAAATAAGTATCACTTAGATACCTCGACGGATTTATTTTCATTAGGGCACATCACATAGTCTGACTGTTTTCTTAATTGGTTCTCTCTCTCTCTCTTTATATATATATATATATATATATATATATCTCTCTGTCTATCTCTTGCTTTCTCACTCACTCTAATTTTGTTTGTTTTTTCCCCATATTGGATGTTGTAATCTATGCTATTACTTTTATTGTTAGGTTATTAGGAGTGTTAGTCAATGGTCTGCTGGGACAAGCCAAACTGAACAGAGCATCCACAATGCTTATTGCTCTCTAATTGAGAAAGCTGAATACTTCATCTACATCGAGGTATCTAATGTACTTTTCTTTTGTATCTAGATTAGATCGAATACCATCTTTAAAAGATATTTTGGTAAATGATCATAGCTAATTTTGTTTCTGCTTCATTAGTAATAAAGCCCTTCTAGAAGCTTGTGGCTAAATTCAAATTAACATCTAAGGAGCATATTTTACAGCTAGGACAACATTACAATATTACTATTTTGTAAAGGGCGCTGTTTAATTTCCTTTGATTATGTCGTCATAGAGAAATAGCTCCTAGAATGTTTTTACTTGCTTCTGATGAGTTGCTACCACAAGATTCTCCTAGTTAACACAATGGTGTAGCTGCTTGAAATCTCACTTCTCAAGAATTAGCCCATCAACCTTCTCTAACAGGTCTGCTGCACCACTAAGGTTTCTTGCTAGGGTATTCAATAAAACAACTTTCTTAGTGCTTTTATCTTAAATATAGAATTTTCAAAATCTCTACTCCTTTGAACTTCCCAGGTTGTTGGCCCAAAAACAGAACTTCCCAGGTTACACTAAGAGATTTGACTGTAAATTAGATGACTAAATCAACATGCCCCATGCTAAAACCAAACTCTACATGATCAAACAGAAGCTGAACTGAAGTTGTTTGATTCCTTTTTTCTGGGTTTTTTCTTTTGGATCTGTCATTGATTGTGAAAGCTAGGGTTGAGATTCAATGTCGATGATACTTTTCAATGCTTATCATCCCTGTTTCAGTATTATTTCCTATGCCTGTTCTGTGGCTTCTTCTGATTGTTCTGTTTCATCCTTGGCACTTTGTTCCAGAATCAATTTTTTATCTCAGGTCTTTCAGCAGATGAGATGATACAAAATCGTGTGTTAGAAGCTTTATATCAACGGATTATGCGAGCTTACAATGATCAAAAAATTTTTAGAGTTATAATTGTCATCCCACTCCTTCCTGGCTTCCAGGTTCTAATTATTTTTACTTTTTTTCTATACTGTTTCTACTTTGACAATAAATATTTCCTGCACAGTTGTTGGACCTTCATAATCATGCAGGGGGGCCTTGATGATAGTGGTGCGGCATCTGTCAGAGCCATAATGCATTGGCAGTATCGAACCATTTGCAGAGGACAAAAATCTATATTGCATAATCTGTGTGATCTCCTGGGTCCAAAAGCCCATGATTACATATCTTTCTTTGGCCTCAGGGCTTATGGAAGGCTATATGATGGGGGTCCTTTGGCAACCAGCCAGGTACTTTTGTTACTTGTATCAGTTGTATTTGAGTAAGGAGTACCAGAAATCTCAGTCGCCTATGTACGCTGCAGGTGTATGTTCACAGTAAAATCATGATCGTCGATGACTGTACAACTTTGATAGGATCTGCTAATATTAACGATAGAAGTTTACTTGGCTCCAGAGACTCAGAGGTATAGCTCCAAAATTTTTCAAGTGCATTATGGATTTCTCTCTTCTGTTGACAATTGTCTGAAGTTTTAGTGTGTCGTTGAAGTCTTCAATTATTTATCCAGTGGTTCTCTCTCTTCTCCTACTATTATTTCATGATCCCTCTTTTCAATAATTTTCATTGGACGAGCGACAATGCAAGCAAATTTTTTATTTAGAAGCAGGGCAATTGATATTTTGTATCTTTTTCTTTTCATTATATATTTTAATGGAATCTCTGGCAGAGATTGCAAATATTATTTATTTTCATGGATAGCTTAGAATTTCTTCCCATCTCTTTGTGCATATGTTATTTCCTTCACCCTTTTGGAAGGTCTGGACTTCCAATCTAAAAGAAATAAGTAGTAAATCATTTCTTCCATCTTGGAAGTTACTACTTGATATTCTTGTCAGAAAACCTTTTTTTTTTTTTTTTTATTGCCAACACCTTTTTCATACCCTGAAACTAGAACACTTTGGATTAATCTTGTTCGCCACTCTGGTTTTTTTTTTTTTTTTTGGGGGCATTTATGATTTTTTTTTTTGCAACTATTATTTTGTAATTGTGGTGTCATATTCAGTCCCATTAATTGTCTCAAAGGAATTTCAGATTGGCGTTGTAATAGAAGACAGAGAGTTAACTGGATCATATATGGGTGGGAAACCATGGAAAGCAGGAAAGTTCTCGATGACTCTTCGAATGTCATTATGGTCTGAACACTTGGGTCTCCAAGCAGAAGAGGTTCGCAGATTTCATTCTTATCTGAAGGAGATAATGCGGTTCGTGTTGTTGATATCTACTGACTATGTTCATATTCTTCTCAGATTGATCAAATAGTTGACCCAATTGTGGAGTCTACTTACAAGGACATTTGGATGGCAAGGGCAAAGGTAACTGAAGGCATAAAATGTTCTTGTGTATTAATCATTTGATCTGTGGAATATATCTTAATTAATCTCTCTGAATTATACTAGCAACAGATATAAAATAACAGCTCAGTTGGCTACTAACATTATTTGGCAGTTAAATCCCAAGAACTTACACTACTAGTTATTACATATTTGGGATAAATTAATTACGAAATATACTATAAAAAACTAATAAATGTATCTGGGTGTGTTTCAGAGAAATACTGCAATTTATCAAGATGTCTTTTCTTGCGTACCAAATGATCTGATACACACCAGGTATGGCAGTGGTAATTCTCTTTGGTATTTCATCCTTATTTTCTTGTCCTCATCAATGATTTTGCCCACTAGTTATAGAACTTGGAACCTCCAGTCAACACCAAGCATTAAAGTATCATGAGGCCCTAATTTATTGTTATTTTCTCTTGTCCTAACGTTCATTATAAACACGTAATTTTGCAGAGTTGCTTTCAGACAAAGCACAGCTCGCTGGAAAGAAAAAATTGGCCACACAACTATTGATATAGGAATTGCCCCAAACGTGTTGGAATCTTTTCATAATGGAACTATCAAGAATACCGATCCCTTGGAGAGATTAGCTTCAGTGAAGGGTCATCTTGTTTCTTTTTCCTTGCAGTTCATGTGTCAAGAAAATTTAAAACCTGCCTTCAATGAAAGCGAGTACTACGCTTCTCAAGTTTTCCATTGAGTTTGATGTCTGAGAGTATATAATAATTATTTTTGTATTATTGTTTTCATTTATACGAGGGGAAATAAGGGTCTTGTTACGTTGTTCTTGTAAAGAATACATCTGCAGCCATTCATTCTTGTATAAAATTCCTCAGCTTACTGATATTATGAAATTTAATGCCTTTTCCCTTTTAGTCCTCAATTCATGCCCTTGGGTTTATCTTCTCTTCAGTCTTCAGCGTGGATGTCGTATTAACTCATTATACACATTATTGAAGATTTTATAGGTAAACTTAGTTTATAAAACAAACTTAGATTAAATCTATTTGTCATATTTATATATTTGTTTGTAATTAATATAATCTACATATATATTTATATATATCCTTTTTTTTTCATAAACAAAAGGTTTAGTTGAATTAGGTTCAAGAGCTTATCAAAATTAAGGAATTGTTTTCAGGCTTAAAAAACGTGTATAAAAGTACTTACATATTATTCACCAATAAAATTCTCACATGAGAAACAAGATTTAATCTCATAATCTTATATAATTTGAGTCAAATCCTTACTAATTCAACTTACTTTCATTGATATGTATATATCAGTCAAATCAATTTAGTAATTTCGAACTTATTAAATCCTTCTGTAGCTTTCAGGTTTACTAAAGGTGCATACATATCAATGTCCCCTTTCAACATTAATTCTTTTTGAAAAAATATCAATAAAATTTCTTTGAAATATGTAAAGAACAAATTGATCCCTCAAAATTTCATAATTTTTTAAAAGTTCTTTGAGACTTTTTTGTTATTGTTAAAAATAAATGATTCACAAGTTTTATTTAAATATTCACAAGTTTTTTTTTTATATTTACAGCAATACAACAGCAAATTACAATTTTGTATGTTAAATTCTTTATTTACTGTTACATTATTGTAAATATAGAAAAAAAAATTGTGAATATTTAAACAAAACTTGTAAATCATTTATTCTTAACCAGGGTAATTTAGTAATTTATATAAATTTATTAATAATAAAAAAGTTCTCAAAAATTTATAGAGAATTATGATATTTTGAAAGACTATATTATCATTTACATTTTTTTTAGAGGGATTTTATTGTCAATTTCCCATTCTTCTTCATGATTTGGACAGAAGCGTGGTTCACGTGTCACATACTCACATTAAAGCAGTTCCTCATCCTTAGGCTCAACTCAGATGGTGGATCATGTTCAGGAAACAACCATTAGTTTTTATTTGCGCATTTATAATTTTTTCCAGCTCCAGTAGTTCTGATATATCGCTAGATGCAGCCCCCCCAATATGCAATATAAAAACTCTCTGGAATGGACATCCTAAGTCTTTGTCAAAATCTATATGAACCATTATGACCCAGAATCTTCATTATTCTAGATCATGCATGGAGCATTAAATCTAGCACTTCTAAAAGCCTTATCCTCATGGACTTGCTTTTTTTTTTTTGAGTTGGGTTAGGTGTATTGCATCAACTATATTTCTAAATAAGAATAACTGTTAATAAAAATTATCACTTTATTAGTTTAAACTTTTCTTGCTTGTTATCTTTCCCATGAATGAACGACATTGAAATGCCTGTTTGGATTGCCTCATTAATCAATTTTTGAGGCAAAAAATCAATTAATATAAAAAGTTACCCAAACAGTCAAAAATGATCAAAAATTGATTATGAGTAAGGACGTATGTTTTACCGTAAGCTCCTTCCATTAGCTTCCGCAAAAAATTTATCAAAAAGCGTTAGAAAAACTTACAAAGAAAGGCTAATGAAAAAATTATAAAGAAAACACATAATTTAATAAAAATAAAATTAAACTTTCTTTTTTCTCTTTTTTTTTAATAAAATTTAAATTTTGTATCCTCAAAAAATTAATGTTTGGTATTTAAAAATTAAATTATATAGTAATTTATATAGCTAAAATTAATTATAATTAAATTATCCAAATATCTTCAGTTCTATTAAAATTAATTTTAAAAAAATAGTTTCCAAACATAACGTTATAACATAATCAATTATGATTAAAATTTACTATTTAATTAATTATTTTTATAATTTATTATACCCAATTGAAATTCAAATAAGCATGAAGTAATATATAGCAACACTTGAATAGGCGTGTGAAAGCGTTTCACAATCTATCAAAGGGTGAAATGACAATGAAGGACGTAGGAAAATAATGAAGTTTAAACACCAGAGGTCATAAATGACAATTAAGGATTACTTAAGATTATTTGCTAATTTTGGAAAACAATATGGACCCAAATGCCCTTAAGTAGCCAGAAACAACACTTTTAAAAACCAAAAATCTAAATTGTAGTTTTTAACAACCAAAGCTCAATTATTAACACAAAAAACTCATTAGCAACTGAGCTTTTATGACTTACAATTGCATTATTCATAGTTTTCCAACTAATTTTTTAAATTTTAGCTTTTAAAATAACACATAAATATGAAAAATAAGATTTTGCATAATATACCACTAAACTTCACATATTTATAACTAAATTTTCAACTTCTATAATTGAGCTTCTAATTTCTAACTTTAACAAGTCACTATTTTTTCAACAAGTGGGATGTTTTAATGGAAGAATGATAGAGACGTTTTAAAAGAATCAATTAATTCAAGGTAGATTTAAGTATCAAATCTCATAAATTTACAAGTCCATTTTTCAAATTTACAACTATATTATAATAAATTTATAATTTATTTTTTCAATTTTAATATAATTGAAGAATAAAAAATTATTTTTTAATTAAAATTTCAAACACAAATTATAAATTTATTATAACAAAATTATAAAATTAAAAAATTAAGTTATAAATTTTTAAAATTTAATACTTAAAATTTAATTTAAATTAATTAATCCATTAAGCACCTATATCTCATTCTCTCTATTTTGATCCTTTTAAAAAAAAAAATTTAGAAACGAACTTTTGTCTTTAATTATTATTCTCTAAATTGGGAGTCCTCGAGTATCATATCATTACTTTTCTTCCTTCCATGTCATGTCAGGTCATGTCACATGTCCTTTATCATGTGCACTAAACTTCAATAAAAATGGCTCTATAAACTTCAAGAATTAGCATACAACAATCATGCAAGTGTGGGGCCCATCACCCAAGATCAATCCAGGCCATGAAAGTATGTTTGTTGATCTTTGCTTCATTGTTTGGTGGTGGTGGGTCATAATATAATTTCACACAGTGTCCATTTTATTTGACCCTTGACATCCTGGGCCTCACCAAAACAGCTGGCCAAGCCACATCCTTGTATTTGGTGTATTTACTTGTTACTTGGCTAGAAGTTGCCCAATCGATTGATTTTTCAATTATTACAACTGTTTAAACATATTTAGTGAATTAGTCTATTTCCTATATGATCAGCATTGAACATTAATTAATTTAAACCAAACCACTAGAGACAATCTGATCTCGTCCACAAAAAGTAAGTTTTTTTTATTCTTTCAGTCCTTGTCAATTCTTATTAATTTAAACTGATATTTCTTCATTGTTATTTACCGACCATTTATGATATTTTATTTAATTCGTTAAATTTAGTTCGGTGCGAACAATATATTATTCAAACGCTCTGGTTGATCTATTTTGTTTGCTCCTAAGGAAATATACTTATTTATTGAATTCAACGATTTATTTTGCAATTTTATACTTGTTGGAGCTCAGCAATAGGGAGGCTATGATGTAACTGATAATATAAGTAATGGGACGATTAAAAAGGAAGGAAAACACCATTTTAGTGTTCAAATTGTTCATTTCTTCAGAATCTGGAGGACGTCATGGAAAGGGTGATATGTAATATCACCACACCAGCCACCTCCTTAGACTACAAGGTGAAATAATTAAACGTCACGTCGTAACACAGTTGTGATTGCAGTTTTGGTTATTGGAGTGCAAGTAAATATACCCCGATAACTTCAGTTGAATTACCTTTCAGTTCCTCAGATTTTGCGGGCAGACGCTTTTCTCCTCCGTCAGTGTCACTGGGATTCGAAGGTATTGAATATTTTGTCCTTTTTCTTGTTCCTTTGTTGTGAATTTTGAGTAATGCATAGGGAAGACTCTCTGCTTTTGGAGAAAAACCTTGCGTCTTCATTTTGTCCTGGAAAGGCAAAATAAGGGTAGCCACGAAATCATAAACATGATTTAAATTTCTTGAATTTAAGAGGATCTTCTACGTTTTCCCACTTCAATCTAGTTACAAACACATCAAATTCAAGGGTCAGATTCTTCTTGCAGCGTGATCGGAATGTAGTGGTGGCCGCCATGGTTCTCTTTCCATCTCTTGTTACTGGATTAGCAAGAACTATGTCCCTCAGAAGAGAAAAAATAATCAGAGAGATGAAGATGGAAGGAAAGTTGTGGAAGCATTGGCAAAGGAAGCAAAGAAGAATGATTTGTTATTGAGTTCATCTGGAACTGTAAAGTCTCATAAGGCGAATACTGTTGCATCTTTCTTCTCCAAGAGAGGCACAAAAGGGATCAATCAGGATCGTCTTGCTGTTTGGGAGGTATGCCAATTCTGCCCTTTTTGCTTATCTATCATAACTGCTTCAAAGATCATTTAACTGAAGCCTGAAGAAGTTTGATTACCATATGAATAGAATGTTACATAGATTTTGGCTTAAAACGTTCCAAAATCTTACAAGATGCTTCATAAAGAACAAGGAATAAGGGAGTTGAATGAGACAATTGAGACATTAAGGAGATAAACTGATTTCAACAGACCTTAAAAATTTTCTGAATAATTACGATGTTTTGATTTGTTTGGCGTGATAGGGATTTGGTTGCCAAGATGATATGATCTTCTGTGGAATATTTGATGGACATGGCCCTTGGGGACACTTTGTAGCCAAAAAGGTCAGAGAATTAGTACCTGTTTCTTTACTCTGCAATTGGCAAGGAGCCTTGGCTGCAACATCACTTGATCTGGATTTTAAACTGGAAGAAGACAGAAACCTTCATTGGTTTGACCTATGGAAGCAATCCTATTTAAAGACTTGTGCTGCTGTGGATCAGGATCTGAAGAACCATACTCGGTTTGATTCCTTTCAAAGCGGCGCTACTGCTTTGACAATTATTAAACAGGTTATTGAAATTCATATAACTCACTATTTTCAAGTAGTGCATTATTAGTTTATTTACTTATTTGCATTCAGAAGCCTTAGGTTGAACTGTTCTTGTGTTCTACTGATGGAGAACATTTGAATCCGTAAGTTATGAAATTCTATTTGATGCATCTCCTCAAAATCTGAAAGAGCATGTCCCCAGAATTTAAGAAATTGGTGATTTTTAGTTTGGCAAATTGTGTCTATGATTATGCCCATTCTAAAATCACTGTCAGCTCTGAGGGTTAAGCTGGCGCGAAACCTTTTCGGACTTATCAATAAGATAGAGGTTTTGATTATAAGCTTATTTCTAACACTCATTCTCCTTCTCAATGAATGTCATGACGGCATGATGGAAAGAAAAATCAAAGTTCATGTTAGATGATCTAATATTTCATTCTATATATGAAGTAATGCAAGCCTCAAAAAGGAGGGACCTTGCTATTAGACACATCACAACACTTCAATTTTATTTTATTTTTTTATTTTTCAGGGATTAGTGTTGCATATCCATGTTAAAGTTCTTACTTTTAGTTTTACTGCTCCTTGTTACTAGTGTCCTAATCATGAACCGCAAATTAACTATATTTTCTCATTCTATGAACAGTGACAGATCCAGAAAAATAAATCAATGGAGGCATAATTTATACTTAAGATAAATATTTATATTTTTTATAAAAAATAATTATATTTTTTATATAAGTTAATAAAATTAATATTTAAAAAAACACATAAAGGTAGAATTAGAATAACATAAAAGACTCTCTTTATATATAGCATCATGTTTTTTAATTTTCATTAAATAAAATTTATATTCCCTCACTTAACCAAAATTTACCTCAATTAACTAGTTAGTTGTTTTCAAATTAACACCATTTTTTTTTTCATATTTACTCCTATTTAATAAGATATTTTACTTTAAAATAAATATAAAGTGATTTATTTATAAGAAGCACTTTTTAAAAAATATATTAATTACACATTAAAATATTAAAAATATCTTACATTTTTTAACATCCAACACCTAAAAAATGTTCTCTTGAGGGAGTATACCTCATTTGTATGGTAGAGAATTTTGCACACAAAAACCTCTTCATTTTCTTATTATCATTTTGCCTCCAAAGAAATTACATGTTTGAGAATTTTTTATACAAAATTTTTTTCATAAACATTTTTTTCTGAACTATTAGTTTTCCATCATAAAGCTATTGTTATTCAAGGTTATACATATATATATATATATATATATATATATATTATAGTTTTAGATAATAAATTTTCTAATGGGATAAGTAAAATTTTATAAGGAAATAAATGAAATTCTTTTAAAGTGAGGGAGCAATAAAAATATAACCTAGGTCATTTTAAGTTTTTTTTTTTTTTTTTTGGGTTGTGGGTTCAATTGCCCTCACTATAGCAAACGCGGATCTGTCCCTGTCTATCAACTATTATGTTCTTCAAAAAAAGGAAGCTCTTTGATGCTTGACTTCCGTATTAGACGCATTGCATGGCGACACTACAAATTTTGTTATTTTACAAGTATTAGTGTGGCCAAATAATGAACCTCTAATGGACAAGTTACATGTAGATATGTGACAGTATATGGGAGTAAATAAACAACTCTTTGTATCCCATTATTTTTCACACTCTCAATATGCAGAGCAATGCCAGATCTCTTTTTGATGTATTTATCAGAATTAGTCTAAACTTTCTGCATTATGTTTCAGGGTAAACTTCTCACCATAGCAAATTTAGGTGATTCTAGGGCAGTCTTGGCGACTGCTTCAGAGGATGAAGATGGAACATTGATTCCTCTTCAACTTACCACTGATTTGAAGCCAAACGTACCAGGTAAAACATACATTTAAGTATGACGTACTAGTGATATATTCATATGTTTACTTACTATGGAGTATAGACCCAGTCTAACATAAAATTTGTTGGTGTAAGAGAAATTGAGTGTTGCCTTTGTATACTTCAGAGGAAGCAGAGCGCATAAAGCAGTGTAGAGGGAAGGTGTTCTGTATGGAAGATGAACCAGGAGTGTACAGAGTGTGGCTTCCAACTGGTAAAACTCCAGGGCTTGCCATATCAAGAGCCTTTGGTGATTACTGTGTCAAGGACTTTGGACTAATCTCTGTGCCTCAAGTCACTCAAAGGACACTCACCACCAAGGATCAGTTCATCATCTTGGCATCAGATGGGGTATGTTTGTAACTATGTATTCTTATTTCGATCAGAATTCCCGAACTGAAGTGTCCAGGCAATTTATCATCCTTGTTTCTTTTTCAGGTGTGGGATGTCATTTCCAACGATGAAGCAGTGAAGATTGTATCCTCAGTGCCTCAGAAGGAAAAAGCAGCTCAGAGACTGGTTCAATGTGCTGCATATGAATGGAAACGCAAGAGAAGAAACATTGCCGTGGATGACATGTCGGCTATTTGTCTCTTCTTTCACTCTTCTTCTTCTTCATCTCATTCACCTTAAACTTCTAAACGTGTCAAATAACACTCAATCTCACGTAGAACACAGAATACTTCACACTGTTCTGGCCACTGTGTATGAGACTTCTATACTTGGTGAAGTGTATGATATATATTCACTTGTCATGTTTTAAATGGAATGATTTGATAATAAATATTTGAAGTCTGTGCTTCAATTTTTCCTACATGGCTCTACCTTATGTGATCATTTGTTTGCTTGAATTTTAATACAAGCATCCAAATCATGGATTGCCAACACTAATGGCTGAGACAAGATAGCACGCAGTCTGTAGTTTAAAGCTGTCTTTGGATATAAGATGATACAGTATGAGACATCATAGGCTGGTCTTGTTCTAGGAATAGTATTAAGACTAGTTTTTTTCAGAATGACAAAGATAGGATGCTTAAAGTAAAAATTCATATTTTCTCTTCAATTATATTATAAGGGTAATTCGAGGTATCCTATTTATTTTGCGAGAAAAACAAGTACATAAATAACATTAACGATCGTTACTGGAATATATCATTTTACTTAATAGAACTTGAAACTTGCATTCAAAGCATATAAACTTAGCATGAAGATTGGTCTCTACTCTATGTAAACAAAGCTCAAAGTCACATCTTATTTCTTCCCCAACTTGAATTATTGTTAAATTTCATTTAATATGATTTATTTTACCCTTAAATTTAATTAATTTGATGTCTCTTTTTTTATGAAACCTTTATGAGATTAGTATTTTTAGAAAATTATTTCTTGTCATTTCTTATTCAAAAATAATAAGATCAAAATGCATAAAACTCTTAAACTATGAAGTAGTTGTATATGACCTCTTCACCTTACAGTTAAATATTTAAAATTAACTCCTTTAGTTTTTAAATTTTTTTTTCAAAACATCTACTATTAATTAACTCTATTGTGTTTTTAATAGAATTTGTCATATTAATGAAATACAATAGCGCATGATATAGAAAAATATTTTATTAATTTTTAACACAATTTAAGGAAGGGCAAAACTATAATTTTTATTTTTAATACATGATGATGCTTTCATGTTTTTTAGTTAAGCAACTTTGTTCTGACAATTTAAGAGAAAAAATATAATTTTATTATTTTTTATTAATTAAAATAGCATTTTATATTAAACAAATGAAAAAAATTTGAAAACTGTTATTGATAAGAATTATACAAATAAAAGTTTAACCTCTGTTATAGGAAAATTATACACCAAAAATTAATAAAAATAATACAAAAATAAATATTTAAAAAATAATATAATTTTTATACATTTATTATTTGCTTAAATAAAATCCTACTTAAGTTTCTGTAGAAGTTTTCTTAATTTAGCATATTAAATTCTTAATAATACCATAAAGTCAATTAAAAATGGGGGCTTTGAAAAAATAAAATTAAAAATTATAAGAATTAACTTTAAACATTTAAATATAAAAGCATTCATATGCAACTACTTTAAAATTAAAAATTTTTTGCATTTTAACCTAATAATAATAATAATATTCGCATTTACCTGGCGCTGGCGCGAATCGGTAGCGTCCGAAACTATCCGATGAATTGACCAAAAACTCCTCGATATCGAATAAAATTACAAATATGCCACCGAATCCCTGGATTCAGCACTGCCAACTCCAGCTCCGATGACCAATCTCCGCCCACGGCGTGTCTTCTGATGTTTATCTCTCTACCGCTCTTACCCTCTCCTGCAGTCGCCTCTCGCGCGTGGCATCACCGCACCTCTCTCTCCGTCACACACTCCTATCCACTCTCGTCGACTCCTTTTACTTCTCTCTTCAAATCCTGTCTCGGGCGACAATCTCCGATTTCCATGTCCTCCAACGGCCTCCGATTAACTTCTTCAGCTAAGCAGCTAGATTTCCGGGAATTGAAAAATGAATCCGATTTTGAAACTCTTTTGTCACCCGATGGCTACCTGTCCATCTGCGGCTTCGGATCCCTCCTATCCGGTACGTACAGTACAATACAGTGACACTTTGCATTCATCAACGATGTGATAGTTATGGTAATTGTGCCTTATGGGGCAGAGAGAAGTGCCAGAAGTACGTTCCCGGATTTGGTGAACTTCAGAGTTGCGAGATTGAATGGGTTTCGACGGGTGTTTGCTCACGTAGCTCCGGTGTTCTTTGAGCGTGGCATTGCCAAGCCAGAAACTGAGGTTAATTCTTACTCAATAAGCACCAGTGATTTACGTGTTTAATTGCCATAATGCCATGAAAGCGGAGGAAAGAACAAGGATTGCAAAGTATGCGTCGCAAATTTTAGATTGTTTTTCATACAGATTGTGTGTGTGTGTGTGTGTGTGTGTGTGTGGATGCAGTTTTATTTTATGAATCAAGCCTAAGATACTTTTATATATGATGTTTTTACTGAGCGCTGATTAAAAAGTTCTCAGGAGATTTCCAGCTTGAGCGTGGAGCCATGTGCAGGAGAAACTCTTGTTGTAACAGTTTTTGAGATCACAAAATCAGAGGTAGGCACCTACATTTTGGTCCCTTTTTGAGTGAGGATCCAGTTAACAAAGCACTAGAGCTAATATATTAGGATCTTATTCTAACATATTAGGATCTTATATATGTTCAGATTCCAGCTTTTATGAGGAGGGAGCTTGAGTTTCGGTTTCTTGCTGTAAGCTTTTAGATTGTGAACCTTATTGCTTTTATAGTTTAATTGTCTTCAGATATGTATTTCTGGGTTGAAATGTTCAAATGCTCAATCATTTACATCCTAGGTTCTTCCTGAAACGCTTGATGGGACATCTTTTGACAATCCAGCGGTATGTGGCAAATGAGGAACTGATTTTGTGATGTCAGAGCATCTTTTTTAAGCAAATACATCGTATAGAACGATAATATTTACTTAGCAAACTAGTCATCTGATGCGTTTAATTTTTCATAGGTCCTTTGTGCCCGTTATAGTGATGAAGAGTTTTTCAACATTAGATGTAAAGGTAATCCTTCTTATCATTTTATTTATCCACTTGAGGGATTGAGAGATGTATGGTTTCCATTAAGTCGAAACTGCCAATATTCATTCAATTCTTCTTCACGTTCCTTTGCATTTATATGCTCGTGTCCATTTGTGTGGCATAATTGGTGCCTTTCATTGAAAATACGAATCGTTACAGAAATCAACCAGGCAGATAATTAACCATGTTTCTGTTGGAGCTGAATGAGTTGAAAAGATGGAAGTACCTGTAATCGCCCGAAGGACAAATATAGACTTGCTTTTTAATTTTTATAAAGCTTCAGCATGTTGTCATGTTACTTTCTACTCGTGGAGGGCTGATTTATTCAAATGACCACATGTTGTAACTCCATCCTAATCATCTACTAATTACATCAAGGTAGAGAGGCTCCCTGTTGGACTGGGGTTAATAGCTGCCCCTGATTGTCATACGATAAATAATTAGTTCTGCCGAACTGATGTAATAAATTTATTTCATAAATTATCAGCCGTGCAATAGGGTGAAATGGATAATCAGATTATTGGAATTTCCTCTCATCAGAATATTGTTGATTGATACTAGGAGTCACTTCAAAAATCTGTGTGAAAATTAAATTTCTCTTTTTGCCCTTGCTCTGAACTAGATTGTTTCATTTGTTGTTGGTGGATGCTATTTCCTCCAGGAAGCAAGGAAATCTATTTTCAGCAATACGGACGGTGGAATATTGATAGGATTTGGAGAGATGATGTCTTACCTTGTCGTGTTTATCTTCGACACTGGTAAGTGCATTTTAGATTAAAGTCCGTTTGTTTGTTATTGCTTCAATAACTAAAAGAATATAAGGTATAAAACGGTACCTCGTTAATTTGGATTTTTGGTTTTACATTTTCCAAGTTCAATGGTTCTTGCTGCTAGATGCATAATCAGGGATCCTTGGTTCACTTTTGCCTTTTTCAGTTTTCTTTCCAGCTAACCAACCAAATAGAGTAGAAATTTCATAGAGATTGCTTACGAAGCTGTTTGATACACCAAGCAGTTGGAAACCTATTTTAAGATGTTTGAATATAAGAAATATGGAAATTTTAGTTGTGTTTATATCTCCTGAATAGTACAGGGATGGTATACAACTTTCAAACATACCAAGCTCAAATGGACAAATGTTTGATAAACGAGTATCCAAGAGTGAGGGGAAATTAAGATACCTTCCTAAGAATCCCTACCAAATGCCTTAGGAGTTAGAAGGGAAGAAAAAATGAAGTTAAATAAATTATTCTCCTTTCCCATTATTCAGATATTTAAAATAGACAGGGAAAAGGAATTGAAGCTTAAATGAGAGTTGTTGATGGATCATTAATGGTTTTTACAAAATTGTGATTTATTAAATTGATTATAAATATTTAATTTCTTGACATTTAAAAGAAAGAAATAATGGAAGGATATTAGTGAATAGTTTATTTCTTCCTCAACTTCTTGGAAGCTTGGAAACCAACAGGTTGGAATATTGGTATTATTCTCATTTTCTTCTACTCCAAGCAAAAATAAATCTGGGCAGGGAGAAAATTGTGAGGAAAATTTTCCTTCCCTTTCCTAGGCCCAGGCTCTCTCTTTTAAGATTCAATATATCATTGGAATCTCAATGTAAATTAACTGGGAATTCATGAAATCTTTTGTAGTGTATTGGCTGCAAAGAATCTTGGTGACGTGGCTTACAACAATTTTATGGATCACACCTACCTAGCCGACCGTAAAACAACAATTCGCGAGTATTTGGCAACAACAGGTTCTGGGATCATGGAAGAGAAACCTCCAGATTCCCTCAGGCAACGCTATGGTGGTTGATAATCTAAATTGTAATATTCCATTCGCTACAAACATATTTCTGACATGTTAAGTGGTGGTAGTTAGAAAGAGGTGTTGACCGTCGTGATTTAGTTATGAAATATTCTTGGCCTAAATAATAATATACTTGTGATCTTTCTTGCATGAATATTTCCTTGTCTTTCTTAAAAATTTGATCCATTTTAATTTGGTTCTCCAAATATTATGTATTGTAACCTCAAGTTTCGGGCTGCCTTGAAGGATATTGCATCTTAATTCAAAATTTTAATGCCTAAATTTATGGTTCATTTTTTATTATATATTAATTATTAAACTTATTTTTATTTGATGTGAGATTTTCATATTAATTCAAGTTTACTTATACTTAAACCACTTAATAGGCAAAATGAGAGCATATAAAATATGTAAAATGTGTTTTGCCAAAAAATTATTTGAGATTTTATTTTGGGAAAAATGATAATAAAATTCCTCTAAAATATATAAATAACAATTTAATTTCTCGTAACTTTTATATCATTAATGAATTTATATAAATTATTAAATTACTCTTATTGAAAAAAATATTTATAATTTTTCTTCTTATATTCACAATAATGTAACAGCAAATCACAACTTTGGATATTAATTTTTTTATTTGTTATTGCATTGTTGTGAATATAAGAATAAAAGTTGTAAATATTTAAACAAAACTTGTGAATTATTTATTTTCAATAAGAGTAATTTAATAGATTATATAAATTCATTAATGACAGAAAAATTCCTCAAGACTTCAAAGAAATTATAACATTTCAAAGAATCAAATTGTCCTTTATATATTTTAAAGAGACTTTGTTGTCATTTTTCCTTTATTTTATTTCTCAAAGTATATCTTTTTCCAAATATTTTCCTTGCTATAACGCAATTCATTTTGTTGTTAATTTTCACATTTCAGTGTTTAAATCCTTGCTAATGATTATTACTTATCAGTATATTATATTTCCACGTAACCGGAAACCGGCTTTTGAGTTTTGTCTGCTGAAATTTGGTAGACCTGAAAAAAAGACGTTGTTAGATTGAGACCAATCTTTTTAAAATTAGACTAGTGATTGAATTGATCGACAATATACTCATTATTGAAAGGATCCTACACTGTATATTTTTGAAGTTTACTTGAGACCTTTTATCCAAAAAGTTGCGAATAATATTGATATGCAATTAAAATTCCTGGTTCTAATCAGTAGTCAGGGGATCGACAAATTAAGAATTTAAATACAAATCAGATGAAACTATAGGATCAATCAACAAACCCATTAAAACCAAGGGTTAGAAAGGGGAAAAAAAATAATATGATGAAGTGAATCAATCTTCTACATCCGGATGCACTAATTAGAGAGTATTAATTGCAGATGTCATGTGGCCAAAAAAAAAAAAAAAAATTGCAGACGTCAAAGCAGAGAATACATGACTCGGTCGTTAAAAGCTTTGATAGTTCTTCCCACAAGCAGATGCGTCCCGGGTATAGCCATTGAGGACTAAGCTAATTCATTCTTGAACGTCTAAAAATTTTTCTGTACATTCAGATTACTACTGGAAATATTATATCGATTTTGATTGTGATCACATCTTTCTCGACTACACTTGAGGAATGAAGCCTAAGGCAGCCGGTATTTGTATTCAATTATATAATCCCCCCCCCCCCCAAATCTGCTATACTCTTCACATAACAATATTACAATCACTACCTTTTTCAAGTTCTCGGATTAGTAGTTCCATCATCTTCTTGTACATAGGCATATAATGATCATTTATCATAGTTTTAGAAAGTCTAAGCTTGCTGTACAGCTCTCTAGGTGTTTCATATAAGCAGACATGATCCTCAATGGGATCATCAGAAGTTGAATTTGAATCATCTGAGGGATGAGGCACAGAGACAATATGCATGATTCTGCCAGGGGGATAAAAGTGGTGGCTGTCCAAGCTGTCAGATGTTGCAATTGGATTGCTGCATTCAGCAGCATCAGCAAGCTGAATCTCTTCTTCAGTGATCTCTTTTGCTGCAGCTGCCTCTTCTTCCTGAGCATGAATATTTAGGGTACTATCTTGTTTTTGAAGCTCCTTTTCCAGTTCATACCACAATTCACCTTCAGTGATGTCGTCTATGGTAGAAGTGGTGATATCTTGATTCGCATGGATGAGTTGTTCCTCTTCATCTATCTCATCGGAGTCCAATCTGTCATTAGAGGAAGCATGCTCACTTGAGATAGGCTCTCTGGCTACCTCTTCAGTCAAAAGAGATTCAGTAGTTGTCTCAGATATTACAGCGGCTTCACCTAAACTCTCCATTTTAGAGTTAGGAGACGGGCCAACACTTCGGCGGCGTGCACTCATGCAAGACCATGATGACAATGATGAGCGAGTTCTGACAACAGCTTCAGCAACACTTTGTGCACTCCTCATCACGACCTGCAAATACAAAACAGAATCTAAGGCAAACAATAACTTTTATGGGGAGAATCCCCAGGCAGGTTGGAGAGTAGTATCTCTTGATTTTTCCCTCATATCAGATGCATAGATACCAGTAGCTAACTTTAAAATCTTGCCAACGCCAGAAGAATCCCTTCCTTGAAATATCTCTAAGTCTTGGACAGAACAATGGCAATGTGATGTGGAAACCCAAATAAAAAGGGGAAGGGGGAGGAAGGGAAGAAGGATGAGGAAGAAATAGAGAGATAAAGAGAAAAAAGGCGAGTAGGGAGAAAGGACGGCAGAAAATAACCACCCTAGATTTAAAATGACAATAGCCTGGGGCTATTTACAATAATCCCAAAATATAAAAACCCAAAGAAAGTCTAATAAAGACAAAATAAAGACAAATAAATTAGTAAAAGAAAGAAAGAAAGCTACTAAAAATATAAAATACATAAATCTACTAAAGTTTCCTTCTCCTAAAAAAATCTTTCCAAGCTTACCAGGAAAAAAAAAAACTTTCCTGATTTCTATCACAAGGCCAAATACAGACACAGATCACAGCTACCTGAGTGCCACTGGTTACTGGCCGGAGAATAGCACCTGCACCAGCTACCTTGGCTTTCGCACTAGATATTGATGGCAGACGTGATCCAAGGGCAGTTGCAGAGCGATAGACAACATTCAGGACCTTCGTACGCTCAACTTGATCCCGCAAATCATTCAACCAAGAAGATGCAGTCACCTAATGACAACAAACTTGAGTGATGATCCATGCATTTTTATTAGATAACCTCCAAATTAATGCAGAAACCATTAGTATCATTTAGAGTCAGAAGTTGTTAGAGGCTAGAGCACCTCAGAACGTAGATCGTCAATAGAAGAAGTTGAGAATGTCGGCACTAAGTCAGAACCATTTATAATAGTAGTGATAAAGTGCTTCCCTGATTCTGCTAATTCCCAAGTCATGCAGGCAGCTGTGAAGGTGACAATTATGATACAAGGGATTAGATTTTTAGTAGAGCTTAGTACAAGAAGACAGGCGAGTTTCTTATATTAGAGAAAACTCAACATTGTGAAGTGGATGCCACAAACAGATATGTGTAAACCATTTAGTACAAAATAAATGTATTGTATGTTACAGCATAAGATTTCATTCTATAATTAACTTCTGCTTCTGGACTAGGAAAAAGTAACTATATCTTAGACTTGAAATTTACCACAAAGATGCCAATATAGGCAAGCTTGCTGTTAATCTGTCACAGATAATGCTCAAATACGTCATCAGACAACTGAGAATGGATGTCAAGCTACAGGGATGTAGCGCATCCCACTCTAGTGAATCACAAAAATTTTTTTGTTATCTTATGCTTGTAAGTCACAATAATAACATTTAATACAGTAATTTGAAATTTGAAAAGACTGGCCAAAATGATTATAAGAGTAACTTCAAATAATGACCACCACCAACATATTTGGCCATTACAATATTTTAAGGAAAATTCTGTTTAATTTGTGCAGTTAGCTAGAAATATAAATCCCCTCTAGATCCTTCCACAATTAATCAACTCTAAAAATGGGAAGATAATGTGATGAAGTTATAATGTACAAGAACTATGTAATTAATTCACTCACTTACTAAAGTGATATTTCTAAGTATGAAGAAAAAGGTAGCTTAGCTACATGCCTGGGGCAAATGTGACACAGGTAGTTGAGGAGAACTCCTTCTGTTCTCTAAGAATGTAGGTTAACAGTGCTGCAGTACCACCTCCGAGTGAGTGCCCAACAACCTGCAGAAGATAAAAGGACAATGGTTTAGTAAACTCAGTTATCCAGGCAAGCACATAACGGATTCACATGACCATAAAAAAAAAAAAAAAAAAAACTGAAGGAATATGGCTACTAGAGCAAAGATACAAAGAAGGAAACAAATAAAATAGAAAATATAATGCGAGAATCTATGCCAGATTATTGTTGTTCATTTAGTTTTCAGTTTTCAATTCAATACAGAGGGCTGTTCCACATTATATTTCATCGTACAAAAAAAAAAAATTATACCTTTAATTTGAAGTCAGGATATTCATCAAGAGCCTTATGTAGAGAAGGAGTGCAGAGCTTTGCAATCCAACGTGCAGCCGCAACCATGCCACAATGTGCATATCCCAAAATTAAGTTGCTTATGCCACCATCATTCAAAACGGAATGATGGAAAGGGACCACAGCACCAGTTGCAGCTGTCAATGTGTCTTTAATGCTATGAGTACCTCGAATCAATAGAAGGAAACATTTTGATCTTGTATCACGTATAATTGTGAAAGCAGGTTTCAAAAGCTGCAATAAGAATACAAGGCACTAAGTCAGTTTTCATCTACAATGGCCATAAGAATGATGAAAATCTAAAACAAACTAGAATTTTGAAAATTATATGGTGGTTGAATAAGAAAGGAAAATAAAAGTGACAGAAACATATTTCCCATATAATAGAACATGCTGGCAGGTAAGAGACCACGAATTATGAACCACAACAACAACAACAACAACAAGAATGACCGAGTTCTTGAGAGAGACACGGCTTAATATTCTCCATATCCACCCCAGATAAACATAAAAAGACATACTTGAAAATTGAGACAGAATGAGGTTAAGGACCACGTACCCCAGCTTTGGGCTTCTGTAGAAGGACATCGTCCACTGAGAATCCCGAAGACTCTAAAAATACAGGAAAAGGTTTCTTCGAGAAATGCATACATAGAGTCAACAACCTCAAGAGACTATACAACTCCGCTATAATTTCGGGGCCTCTGAGAAGTACACAATCATTACCCGCATATACACTTGCAACAGGTAAATTGCCCTGCAAGAATTTTATACTATTTGAAATCTCCCGACCAAAGGCAAGACACTAACTTACCACAGAACTTCTAATACCCAAATAACACAAAATCGTTCAAGCAATGAATTTAAATGAAGGCCATCAGTTTCAGCTTCGTGCTAAGAGCATCAATTCAACTGAGCAAAAAGCCAGGAATGTCAAAAAAATTGAACTGGTACGAAATTTTGATTTCTGGGCGAACCTGCTTGCGCATGAAATAATTAATGCCGAAGGCCAAGTCGCCGATGGGCCACTTGCCCAAAGTCTCCGAATAAGTGAACCTCAAAGTTTCGGTTAAAGTAACAATCGATTCCAACAGAGTTGCCGGAGCTTGAGCTGGCCTCCGAGCAAGCCTCTTCCGTCTAATCGATCTACTGGATTTCGAGGAATCCCCATCCGGATCCTCATCTTCAATCCCCTTCCTCGCTAGCCTCCTACTCAGGACAAAGTACAGCACCACCGCCGCTCCGGCTGCGGTCGCCATTGTGCCAGCTGCCATGGAATTTCTGTGAATCAGCCAGAAGAAGGCAGCCTACGGAAGATCAAGAAAAGAATAGAGCCGTAGACGCTAAGAGGTAACGAGAACGAAATGCGGTGAAGAAGAAAACAAGTTTAGGATGAAGACAATCAAAGAGTAAGAAACAATATTTGGGTTCAGCGTTCGAACTCTGAACCGTAGTTGAGAGAAGCGGAGAATGTGGCTTTCTGGGGGAAAAGTAACACCAGAGATGCAGGAAGCTGGTCTACTGTTTTGTCTGAATGACGAAGACACCCTTTTCTTCTTTAAATCATGATATTAAATTGCAAACTTAATTGGATATTAATTAAATGCTCTAAACAATATATTCCCTCTATTTTTGCATATAAAAAAAATTATATACATAATTTAAAAAAATCAATCAATTAATAAAATTACATTTAAAAATAAAAAAATAAATTAAAATGTTTTACATTAATCAATAAAAATATGCATTAATTATTTTTGTTAATATAAATTATGAAGAGTGATTTAAAAAATACGTAATAAATATTTATTAAAATATGTTATTTTACTTGTATAAAAATAATGATAATTTATTTTATAATAAAAATAAAGTAGTAGGTAGAGATTATGGGGCAATGGATCATTTTATTGATAACTTTTGCTCGTATTAATATTGCATGTATATTAATTAATAATGAAAATTATTGGGAAGGGCAAAATAGGAAGGAAGATATGAGAATGAGTGGGGGAGTGGACACGGCAGGGATCAAGACGGAACGATAATTCGGGAGAAGGGAAGATTATGGATGTGGGGAAGATAAGGACAAACCGAGAGAGGGACCCACGCCCACGCCCACAAGGATTCAAAGTGGACCCCACCGTTTCGGGTCACAGGCTCTTCTGACTGCCTCTGCCTGGATCCAACCCGAAAATCTCTATCGTCGTTTCCGATACAGGTAAGGGTAGGATGCAACATGCCACTCATGGTTCAACTATCACTTTTTATTTTGACTGTCTGCTTATTTATTACTATTTTCCACTGAAGTTCAATTTCATAATAATTTAAAAGAAAGCCTGGCTGTGTCTTATTAATTTTAAAATTTGTATGAATAGTGGTCATTAATGAATTAATTATTTTTAAAATCAGATCAAGATGTATGAGTAACTCTATATTTTTTCCATTTTTTCAATTAACTTGCAATACATGTGAGAAATTATATAATATATGATGCTGTTAAAAAGCTTAACCTTGGGGTGTTTTAGCTGACAAAAAATTTTTAGAATAAAGTATAGGAAATTCGAATCAGCCATAATTTTTTTACTTTTTTTTTCCGAGATGGTATTAGATTTTCTTTTTCTTTTTTCAATTTTACAGGTGAAAAGAGCATAATACTAAAATAATTAGCATGATAACGACAGGTATAATGTTTGGAGCCAGACAAAAGGGGAACTCAAAAGGAAACAGCACCACAAATTTGCGCTTTTTCTGAAAAGTGTATGGTAATGGTTGTATGGTATTATGGTATTCTCGCGTGGCCGATGATTAAAACGTAGCGAGAATGACATGCTAGGGCCACGAATCAAGTTTTGTGCGCAAAAAATTTTGATTTTTTTAATATCCACTCAAGATTTAAAATCTTTTTAGGTCAGCAGAATTTAATTATTGATGGTGAATGGGTGAACGGTAGCTGAATTGCTTCGAGTTTAAATCCCACTTTTATTTGTGTTTGACCAAAAAAAAAATCCTACCTTTATTTGTAAAAAATGATGCTTTAATAAAAGTTTTCATAATTTTTTATTTTGTTCCTTTGCTTGTATTTTGAATTGAGTTTTATCATCAATATATTAGTCTTTATTTTAAAAAAATAACAGAAAATTTAAAAATAAAAATAATAATGATGTATATTTAAACACCACAGTCATGTTTGATATAAAAAATTGAAGTTGCAATAGCAATTAAAATTAAGTAATGTCATCTTTTTATATTTGATATAAAAAAGTGAGACATTTAATTTCAATCTCAATCTTATTTAAATTAAATTACTAATATCATCTAGAGTTGATAACACAAGTCAACTCGTGACTTACATACAGACCAGCCTGCAAACATGTGAGTTGGCCCATGTTACCAACTTTAAATGATAGTATAATTATTTTTAAAAAAATATTTTTAAAATAACAAATCTATCTTTTTAGGTTTTTCAAATTATTGTAAGCAAAATCAAATATTTTAAAATATGTCACAAATCTCAAATACAATCAAATATCTATCACAACCAATAACTACGACAAAAAGTTTTATAAGTTTAATCTAAAATCCTTACCCTCTAGATTGTACTTCTCCCATAAATGGCCAATTTATGATCGAAGACAGTAATCACAAACTGTCATATTACCTTAAAGTTTTTTTTTTTTTTTTGCCACAATTAAAGCTGTCATACAAACATCAGAGAATACAAGATTTGTTATTTAAGATATTTAATAACCTTACTTTTATTATTTAAGATAGATCTGGGACAAGGTTCATCGAGTTTTATTTTATTATTTGATGTTACTTTTTTATAATTTGCGTTGATTAAAAGTCATTTTTTAACTAAAAAAGCATGCAAATTTAGTAACTCTAAAGCATAGCATAAACTGAACCTGCTCAAATTTAGAAAACGATTAAGCTAAGTTTTGGGATTTTCATCGATAAAAAAAAATAAGTTTATTAAATATAAATATTTTTTTGATTTTAATAATCAGCAACCTCTTTTTTTTTTTAAGCAGCTAGAGAAGGTATGATGAAGTCAAAAAAAATGAAAGAATTACAATTAAGGATCACTTAAAAAATTAATCATAAATAAGGATTAATAACAAGTTTCATTTTAGAAAAGATAAGTTCATGTTTTTATTTTAATAACAATTCATTTTATATTAATTTTTGTTTATGATTAATTTTGTTTGAGTAGTGCTTAAATAATATTTTATAAAAAAAATTAAGATTTAAAAAAAAACTAACAGACTGCGAGCTTGGATTATTTTGAAACCATATTACCTTCCCACCCCCTCCTCTCTCTCGTCTGCCTCATCTAGAGTTGGTAAACGGGCGGGCCTAACCCATACGGGCTCGGCCCTTATGGGCCTAGGCCATAAAGCCCGATTACCCCAATTTTATTTTAAAATTGAAGCCCAGCCCTTATTTATAGGACTCAAGGCCGGGCCCGTAAGTCTGGATAAGAATAAAATAAAATTCAACATTAAAATTTATTTAGAATATTTTAAAATTTAACATATATCAAACTAAAGTCTCACATAATCTAAAAAATGAACAAAAAATTTAAAAGTCCAAATAAGATGAAGGCAAACATCATTATCAATCCTAATCAAGATCTCCCTCATTATTATCCATAAATAAAATATTAAAACCCTCAGATGTAGGTCCACTTGTGAAAGATGGAGGTGGATGCTCAATATTAATTATTTCTGCAGCTTCTTTATTATCACCTACAATAATTATTAATTAAATTATTTTATTATCAAATATATATCTATACATATATCACAAGATAAAATATAAAAATTATTATAAAATGGCACAAAACAATTCAACCAATTGCTGGTACAAAATACAAATCAATATTTGCACATTATTTGAAAAGAGGTGAAAACAATACTTTGTGAATAGTAAAATGGGCTTCACGGGCTGCCCGAGCCCGAGCCCCTTTTTCTAGGGCTTAAAAGGGCCGGGTTTCGAAGCTCAATTACTCTAAAAAATGTCAAATTTTTAAACACTAACCCTTATTAAAACGGGCTTAAACGAGCAGCCGTTAAGTCCGACCCTTATTCCCGACTCTAACCCCATCTCTCCTCTCACTCACCCTGTCAGGCTTCTTCACAGACGACCCAAGCAACATTGATGAGTGTGGCCCAAGCGACGTAGATGCCAGTCTCTCCTCTGACAAAATAATCACCATCAAAAAACATACTCCCTCCTGTTTTTAAAAATAATTTTTATCTAAAAACATAAAATATTTTATAATAATTAAATTACTTTTCTAATTTTATCCCTTCTTAATTAGTATAAAAGCATTTAATATATTAGTTGTATTATTATTTAAAATTAAGGGTAAAAATAAAAGTATATCTTACTCTTTTATAATATCAAAAAAAAATAATTTTTTTAAATGCATTAATCGGTTACAAGTCTCTTATAATCAAAATCAGAAGGAGTATATTATTTTTTATTTTTATCATTAGTTCTAATTACTAATACATTTTATGATGAGTGAAATATAAATTTATATAAAGATATAGGTTAATAAATATCAGGGATAAAATGAAAAAAAAAACAGTTTTTACATGTACTATGTTGGTTATATTTTGAATCAAAATTGAAAAAAAAACTAAAATTATTTTGAAGCAGTGGGAGAAATTGTAATTATTTTTGATTGTTAAGAAATATTAAAACTCTCTACGTTCAAAAATGTAAGATATTTATAAAAGAATCTTACTCTCAATAAAATAGTTACTTATTTTCAAATTAACCTTATCTTTTTATATTTATTCCTATTAAACACTCTATAATAAATATAAAGTTATTATCAATAGAGATACTTTAAAAAAAAGATAATGATTATATTTTAAAAGATTAAAAATGACTTATATTTTTTAATATTTAATTCTTAAAAGAATATTTTATATTTTTAAACGGATGAAATAATTGGTAAGTAATGAATACTATTTATTCTTTTTCTTGTTGTTATTTATAGTTTTAAGCGCTCCAATTGTGGGTTCAAGTATCCCAAACATTGCCTTATTCTTTGTTTACTACTGTTAATTGCTAGCTTTTTTTTTTTATATTTAATCCTTTCTCACGGAAAATGGGGTTTTATACACAGTCACAGCACACCTACACATACACAGAATCTTCCGCCCTTTAACCATGTGAAGGTTTGATCTTGAAACTCCCTGTATCGGTGATAAGAATTGCCCCTTTATTAATTACTAATTCATACTTTTAAATATTACTATATGAATTTAGATACTTTCAATCTTTAAACGTTAGGTAATTATTTATAGAACATCTATAAGTGTTTCTGGAAATTGCAGCCATGAGGTCGTATGCTTTTTATTTATCCTTGCAACAACAACAACTTCATTGTCTGATTGCCTTTAGATGATTTAATCTTTTTTTTCTTCCAAAATATCCATAGTTATCGTTTTATTTTACTGAAGTAAAAATTATTTTTTAATTTTTTTTACTAAATGAATT